CTTCACCTGACTCAGAGTGTATTTCCCTTTTCTGATCGATTGGTTGCTCACTTTAATAAGTATGTGTGACCTCACAGCATTTTTTCAATTCTAATAAAATTAACCAAAATAGCTGTCACTGACAAATGACCGTGGGTTGAAGCTGCCTCAGTCAGTGCCCAGACAGTCGTATTGAACCGTATTGACTATGATTGGGTCGGTTTAATAAAGACGGTAAAATTAATTAGCCTTTTGGCCCCCCAGAGAAAGGATTGGAGATGCCATGGAGACCGTAAAAAACTTTGTCGCACCCATTGGATGTTACCGTGATTTTGTTAAAAATTCCTTTCAGAAATTTTTTAAAATCATGTGTTAATGGCTTTTATGTATTGTTCATGACTTCTGTCTCAAAATAGAAGAACTGTGGTATGTTTGTTTTTGTTGTACGTTCTGTTGCTGTTTCCTAAAAAGAATTAAAGCAACATTTCTGGATTTGAGCAACCTCTGAGTGGTGATGGGCAGTAATATACGTTAAGTTTTTTCTGAAAGAATGGCATGTTCTCTTCGAAACTTAGACCTTTTCATTCTGTTTGGAACAAAATGAACCTTGGTGCTTGCTGTAGTGATATAAATGTACTTTGTTGTCAAAAAATTACAGGAAAAAAAATTGGCTTGTATTGGAGGTTTAGCAGTGGGTTTTAAGCTGAAGTGTAATATGAGATATTGTTGGCCGTGTATGTTTACAGTCCAACTTCCAGCCCACAGACAGTTTCTGGCCTCATCAAGATGATGGACTGAAGTATTTTCCCCCATGCCTTTTGTCAAGTGATGCGTAACTATCAAGGGGAGGTTGAGGGGAGAGTGAGCTGTGGTAATCAGGGCATATTGACAATATCGCACGTCAGTAACGTACTTGTATGTGTCCAGTCCACGCTTTGATAACCAATTGAGACGCGTCTGTCTCTTTGCCTGCAGTAAACACTGCGCCATGGTGACTACCGAAGGGCAGTCCAGATCGTTTGCTCTTGTCAGGGCCATGGTATATTATCCTTGTTATTACACCAGGCCGACACAATCGGTTCTTGTGTGCTGTTGATGCATCACTTGTTTTAAAAAAAAAATTGATGGACGGAGATGCCAGACTGGCGCTGGCTTGCAATGACGCGCGTGTCGTAAATTGTAGCCTGAGCGATTACACTGTTAATTTGCCAGTCGTGATGTGTGTTGGCTGCTGTGCCACCTTGTCTCCAAGACGGTGGTCGGTGGGGATAGGGCTCCGTGGCTGCAGTGGTTGTAAGAGGGTTTTCGGCAGACTGGGGAATGCACACATCTCGGTAATGCCTTGTTATATTTGCTCGACGAAATTGCAAGGAATGGGCAATTGATATGCATTGCCACAGATGGCCCAAAACAATCAAACATTCGTTTATATGGCAGACTGCAATCAGTCAGTTGGCCGCCTTGGTTATTAAAGGTGTGCCGCATGGAATACTGATTTGATATTGGGTCAGTCTCTATAGTTAGTGGTGAGAACAAGCACGCTGGCAACGAAGTTGTGGTGACTACACGTGCACTGAACGATACTTATCACGGGGCGAAATTCGTTATGGGGACAAATGTTTTCACAGTCCAGTCCCAAATTTCCTAACACAAGAAACTGTCCCCTCAACACTGATCTAGCCAGGGCACCATGATCACTCAGACCTTCTTGTCAGTTTGGTTATTTGCCTTGGACCACACAATGCAGTTTTTTTATTTTATTCATGCATCTCAAATCAAAGTCTGCATTGGAAATGATCCACTTTTCATCAGAATCTTTAAAAAAAAAAAGCCTGTCGAGATTCTGACTTAATAAAGAAAATTTAGAAATAGAAGATGAAAATACAGGGTCTGGAAGAAAAAGTGAGTAATTTTGATATTCTCCCGATGGAGAAAGTCACAACCACTCAGACCTGTTCTCTCGGAGAGGCCGTAAACATGGGCATATGTATGCATGGATGTGTGCATACATGTATGCACCAGCTTCCTCACAGAATGGAACAGGAGTCTTTTTCTCTCGGTTCATATTACAACCCTAGGGCAAGCCAATCAATAGCAAGATTTTCCTGTATGAATGGTAATAACTTCCCGACCACTGCACCCAGTGTTGGAACGACAGAATCAAAAGAAGATGGAGCGCATGTGGGGGGGGAGAGTAGGGTGAAAAGGGAAAAAAAATGAAACTGATTATATATTGGAAACGGTGCGAGGATTTATTCACGCCGGAGTCAAGTGGTACGAGTGGGTGCCGTCAGAGTTCGGGTCAGTGAAGGGTGTGCGTTGAGCTGCAACTTGATCTGTGTGTGCTTGCTGCTGTGGACTACTTCTGCCAATGATGCTGCAGATGCAGTTGCTTTCACAATTCCTCTTCTGCTGTTTGATCACTTCCTGTCATCTTGGCAGTGAAAACTTAAGTTTGGGAATAACATTATTGAACAGCTGCAAAAACTTCTTACCAATTTGATGTGAAATTGCAGTTCTGAAGAGCAGACGGCCGTCTTGCCACTTCACATTGTTACAGTTTCTGCAGGATTTGTGACAGGCTAGATATTTTTCTTTATCCACAACTGTTGCAATCTGGTGATTTCCAGTGGTCATTGATTTTTATATCCAATCAAATGTTCCCCAGGCATGGGAAGGGGGGCTGATCAAACGGGCAGAATTTCTGAAAGAGCCATGCCCAGCTTTGAAGTGTGATCTGTTGTTGGCAAATAACTGCGAGGAGCTTCCCCAAGCAAATCCGGCTAAATAGGGCCCCCCCCGCCGAAAAGCTCCGGCTAATCCCCGCCAACAGTATTTCCATTCTCTAGAAATCATAATGGGACAATGAGGTGCCGAGCAGCTTAGAGTGCTAGGGCAAGGTGTGTGTGTCGGCACCCTCTGAGACTTAACATCCACTGACCTAAATTACAGCTTGATGATATTTATATGGCCCTGGGGATCTTCTAGCTTAGCCAAGAGTTGTAAAGGAGCAAGACAAGTCACGCTTTCCTGAAGAAAATACTGTTTCAGTGTGTACCAAGCTTGTTAAATGGCTGTTGTCAGGTACAAGCTATGTAATGCCTTTGTCTGGCATTGTTTGAAATTGCTTATTCATTTGGAAGGAGAGATATTATTTTCTTCTTTGACATGACTCCAGGACCAGGTTGAACCTTAATTCCAAGTAGGTCAGTGATAGATTGAAAAAAAATTGTCAGCCCTAATATAGCTGACGAAGTGTCTGTTTCATGTATAAGCCCTTAATTGATAAAATCAGACGACCAATCAATTCAGTGTTACTCCACATTCTCATGCGCATTGCATCCAGAGCCAACTCAGATCATTTTGGAAGTGTTTGAAGCTTTTAACCTGTTGACCCTGTCATTAATGGGACCACAAATTTCATGTGACTTGATTCTCATACCTAATCCGTACCTTGTTAGCTCTTCAAAATCTTGAAAAAATTCCTGAAGCCTCACAGTATTTTGTAGATGTCAGACCTATTGATATGCCCCTCTGTTTGGTGTTCTGTGGACTTCTTCTCATCTTCTGATCTGTCTTCAACACATCTGTATTGGCATTTTCACGCCAGCCTGTCTTCAGACAAGTTCATGTCACCAGTGTGTATGAGTCCCATCCCAGCTTTCCAATTTTAAAAGCCACCAGAGGCCATTATTTAGAGGCGGAGAGCTTGGGTGTCATCTTTTGTCATCCAGCTGTTTCTATTGCAATTCACAGATCCCGCAGTCTGTGTAGAAATTTATAAAGCCAGAGAAAATTCAGTCTTGCATTTGTGGTGGCAATGTTTTGGGGGGAATATTGCTGTCTGGAGCCCTGGGGAAATGTCACTGCCAGAAAGAGGGCTGTGTTTTCCTCAGCCTTCTTAAATTCACTACCTGTGTCCATCCCCCTTCGGCTTCTATTTGCGATTCATCACTCTAAAAAGTGCTGTATGCAAACGGGCGATGACAGTTGGTTTTTTCTCTTTCACAAGCGTCTGTACTTGTTTCCTTTGACCTTCCACTTGCCCCCATTAACACATACCTCAGGACTCTGTCAGTGCTCCAAGTCCAGTGGTTGCCAGGAGCGTGGCGGAGTAGAAATGATCTCTAAAAAGCTTTCCAATGGAGACCCTCCGTTGGTTGCCCGGAGATGGTGCCTTTAGCTGATGTGGGAGTCAGTGGGGTTTGGTGTGCTGGCCGGGGCACGTGGGGACTGGCAGTCCACCTCTTGGAGTAGAAAGGGAAATGTGAAGTAAATTGCCACTGGCGGGCACTCAATATGCTCTGTCTGTGGGAATTTACATAGGAAGCTGCAGGTTGTCAAATTCAGGCTGAAATAGCCAGTGTGATGTCCAGTGCTGCAAATGTAAAAATTTTCACATTCTGTTATTGCTTCACAAAGTTGTCTTTTGTCTATAAACAGAGAACATGAGGCATCTCTGGAGAACTTTGCCCTACAGGGCAGAAAATGTAATTCAAGTGAAAAGCAAATATGCATGCACAGTATAATGATGAATGAAAAAATTTTCCAGAGTGGCATGGAGTCGGTGGCTTCTAAAAATGCTTGACTGGTTTTTTTTTTATCTAGAAATGCCAAAAGTATTTACCATGAATACTGGGTGCTGAACACAAGTGGTTGTAGGCTTGATTTTGTACTTAACCTGACAGTAATTGTACATGTAACGCTTTCCCTTGGTTGTGTTGTGAATGGAATTCAGAGCCCTGTATATTTACCATAAGCAGCCAATACATTGTACCTTGAAGGTCATAAACTTCTGTGAAGATGACACTGACTGATGTCTTGCAATAGGCAGTATATGCACATTATCAAAGAGGCCATTGGGTCCTTCATGCTTATTCTTCCCAAAATGTCTTACCTTGGTTACTGTGTTCAAATTGATAATTTATTTTACATTAACCATAGAGAAATGTTGGCACAAGCTTGTTGATCATTATTTAAACTATTTTAATACTGTTGTGTTTTGTTTTCTTTTTTTTTAGGTAAACGGTGTGGACCTTTCCAAGGCCACCCATGAAGAAGCTGTGGAAGCATTCAAGAATGCCACAGAGCCCATCATCGTACAAGTCCTGCGCCGGGCGCCACGGAGCAAGGTGCCAGGCGACAAGGAAGGCACGACGGCACTGTGCAATGTCGGCACGCAGACGGAGCTGCAAAGTGAGGACCTGCTGTGGAAGGTGTTGCAGCGGTGCCCCAGCCCACTAGAAACGAAGAATGGTGACCTGGACATGGATGGGTAAGCCTCGATCATAACCAAACTTCTTCAGTACTTCGTACTTGGACTAGGCTAAGTTGCCGAGCAGCATTAGAAGCCATTATGTTGGTGGCACGATGCTTCTGGGCAGGTCATACATGCATGTTACATGCCTTTCCAACCAGTCTGGTGTTGTTACTGGCCAAAAACCGTTCATGTCTCAAGTTTTTGAATGTGCGCATATCAGTGGTGCCACCACAGTAACGTTGTCTCCTTAGATTACTTGATCTCTCTCATTCAGTCATCCAGAAGCCTTCATTGTTCACAAACCCAGAGCCACTTTCTTCGGGCTTTAACTTTCAAGAGACAATAAGCCTGATGTCAAGTAATTTTAGCACAGCTGTACCATCCTCAATCCCACAAAATCTTGGAGGGCTGGGCATTGAGGAGGAATCCCAGGTTTAGATGACGGGTTTTTAGAGCTGTGAGCTGATTTGTGAGAACTGAATGGATCTTTGGGCCATTTTGTTTGACAGACTGTGTGAGATATCCCCCCAGGAGCAGATGACGGTCATTGATGATGACCTGATGAATGACCTAGATGCCATGGACAATGTGGACATTCCCATCTTAGATGAGGATGGAATGGACAAAGCCTATGAACTGGAATATGAGGTGAGAAACATGGCCAGCCATATTGCCTGTTTTATACAAATCCCACAGTGTTTATGTAATGCACGTTTGTACAACTATGAGATACATTGAGTTTGCTTTTCTTTCATTGCTCAATTTTGAAAAGAGCATCTTCATGGAAACTCAATGTTTTTTTTCTTCAGTTGTTTCATTGGTGATAACATTACTGTACACAGTTTAGAAATTAGCGTGTAAATTTGATCAATTAAAACAGGCTGTTTAGACAACTTATGCCAAAGCCTTTTAATCTTTTCCAGTAATTATTCTTAGAGTTTGATTTGACACAATACATGTACGTAAAATTCTGTAACATGAAAGCATGAAAATTTGATGAAATGAAATGCAAGATAGAACTTGAAACTCTAGTGTCAAAGCTGAGTTGAACTTGAAGATGTACAGTAGGTTAAAGAGTGGCAAAGAATTTTGTCCAAGTACAGAAATGAGCTAAATTGGACACTTGGCCTCTCAACTGAAGATCCTTTAACAGGCAATCTGATACTGCAGAGACCTGACTTCTTAAAAGCCAGAATATCCCAGGCAATTTGTTCAGTGGTGGTGCTTGGTTTATGGCCTGTCCCGGTGGATCCCTCAGGTTTGCAGGAATGAGAGATGTTTAGGGAAGCTGAAGTCGTAAATTCGCTGGTTTGGAGCCTGCCATTTGCAGTTGTTGTCATGTGCTTCTCGTGGGCTCCATGAATCCGTGGTTGTCAGATTTCATGAAAAGTTTTTTAGAAAAGGAACTTGTTTGGTCTGTCTGATGATGCAGAATGTATTGAAGTTGATGCGGGAGCAGTTGACATTTGAAAATACAGTGGAATATTTATATGTAAAATGTGTGCATGCAGTCAGTGTTAAGAAAGACGTTGCTGTGGTAACCCTCCATGGCAACGTCTAAAAGTGCAGATCACAATAGAAGGGAGATGTGGATGAAATTGCATTAGAGACGGCTCCTGAATGCAATAATGGAAGACAAGACAAGAATTTTCTGGTTAAAAACCAAACATGAGAGCAGGAATCAGCGTGCAAAAGGGAATGCTTTTTTTTTTCACCAGCCAGCCATCCGTGAGCGAGCCGCGCTCAAGGGGTACAGTTCGCCTGCTAATGCGTCTGTTGTGTGGCTGGCTATTATTGGTCATTGGCGGATGCCACAATGGTCCGATCAATGAAGGAGTTCAATGGAATGCGAGTGGTGAATTAAACCAAACCCAACCAATGTCAATTAGCGAGGGGCTCACCCCAACCCCATGAATAGCACCAGATATTTTATTGATTTGGTTAAGCACACGCACAGCATACAGATTGAGCAAAGCATATATACATGTACACACACAAATATCATTAATATGTGTGTGCATAATTTTAAATATTAATATTTGTCATATGAGACAAAGACATTGAATTTATTTGTAAGTATGCTGAACGTTTTGTCGTTTTCCAAGGTCCTGTTTTGCTTATCCATTTTTCAGAGTCTTTCATTCCCTTTGAGTTGTTCAGAATTCTCCTGTGTTCTAAAAGCATTCAGATTTGCAATAGGTCAGATGCAGGTCAGACATGAACCATACATGTATGTCTGAAGGTATTAAGATGTGTACATGTATCCATAGTTATGGATGGCATCTCATCATTACAGTTAGGCTTTTTTATCTTGGATGTTTCAGTATACGAGCTGCCTGTGTGTGGTCAACCAATCTTAGATTAAGACTTAGCTTAAAAACATTATTGATTGTAAGGATATTGATCATCTCATGTATGCCGACCTTTATTTTTAACTGAGAATAACAGACTTTGCATTTGCTGTTCCTTTGGCAAACTGTTTCTAATTAGCATATACATGCTTTTATAGTGCTTGAATTGCCTGATGTATAATTTAGCCAATGAGATATCCTCATGTGCCCAGCAGAAGGGCGTAAGCGCTTGACACCCTTTTGCCGGGAAGCATGATCACTGCAAAAAACTTTTTCCGACAAAAAAAGGACAAACGTATGCAACTATTGTATTTTAATGAAATATGAAGATTTCTTGACAAAAAGTAGAAAAAAATGCTCAAGTCCTTTAATAAGTTGTTCAAAGGTTGCTCTTTGTACAGCCTAGGTTGATTTTGTAGTAAGTTATATCCGTTTTTATTAAATAAAGAGAGTGTGTTTCTTACGCCCTTTTGCTGCTAACATTTTTTCTGCTGTGATCATGCTTCCCGGTAAAAGGGTGTAAGTGCGCTTACAGCCTACTGCCGGGCACCCAACGATATGTAGCTTTGCATTGTGTCAGATATTTGTTCTGATTTTTTGGTTCTAGGATGTAACACTAAGAAGAACTTCAGATGGTGCCAAACTTGGTCTGACTTTATGCTATGGTACGGAAGAAGACACGGGGATCTTCATCAAAGAGGTAGAATTTTTTGTAATTTGTCTACTTTTTTTTTTTCAAATGTTGTAAAGGACAAATAGACTACAGAATCTCTGGATTATTTCAATTTTAAGAGAGTCGAATTGCAGAAAATCCTGCCATGTCAAAATGCACTTGCCATGGAACGTAGTAATGGAAATTTTGTAATCACATTGCATGGTAGTTCACTTGTTCGGGGGTGTTTACTCCAATAGCCTGGCTGTTGAATGAAACTGGTCCCAGGTAGGCATGAAATGGTTTGCATTTGCTGGTTGCCATGGCAATGTGTGATTGGCCACCTCTTGTCTGTACCTGCATGTTCATGTACTTACATGGTGCGTTAAATTTGTAGCACTTGATGACGGGATTTTTGGTGTTTGCTGAGATATTGAAGTACATACTTGCACTGACCAAAAAAGCAAGAGCACAATATTGTATCACATTATGTAAGGAAAGGAAAGTTGAGAATTATCCAGTAATGAGCATGTAAATATGAATAATGTAAATATGAGGGGTGGTCTTTTACTCCAACTAGCCTCCCCCCCACCCCCACCTCATTCACTCTTGCGGTTAAGGGAATGTTTAAGCTGTCGATGGAAATAACCATCATGATCAGGGAGATACAAATGTGAATATCTAGTCCATGCCTTTTTACTTACTGTGAGGGCTTGTGAGTTCATTGAATTTTTTCATAAATAAGGTTTTCAAAGAGGAGGATTTTTTCTCCTGACCATTCCAAAAGGAAAGATACCCTTCAAAGGGCAAGAAAAACTCCAGTCGTCAGTAACCAGGCTAGTTGGTGATTCCTCTTCATCTGTCACTGATTACAGGCGAAAGCTGTTATGGATCAGTACCTGGCTGTAGGGGGATTTGGTGGCATTGTGTTTTGATCGCCCTTGTTCATGATTCCACTAAAGAAGGGTTGAATCATCGGTCGGAGCTGGCTTGATTGCCTGATGTCAATTTCAGAAGGGGGGGGGGAGAAACTGGGTCTAGCGATCTAGTTACCAAAGTAATCCACATTTAATAAAAAGCCAAGCTGTACTTTACCTCCCACTGTCGATGGATAGATTGGAAACACGAAGATTGGACTCTCTCCAAATAGGAAATTGCCTGTTTTTGGCCCAGTTCGCCATTTGTTCAGGTTGTGGATTTTACGGTTATTGCTGGCAATGTTGTCCATCAGATTTTGGAAATTGCTCTTTGGGGTACAGGCATATTTCTGGGTTTCTCAGTGAAAGTTTTGCAAGATATTTTAAGTGAATTAATTATTATTAAGAAAGTAACCAAAAAGCTTTTGTCCTGACTGAAATATTAAAATATGGAGAGAGTTGTTTGGTTGAAGACTAAAAATGAAGCAAAACAAAACAAAAACTTTCACCTGGTACATGTATGTGCCTAATATTCTGAAGAAAGACCAAAAAAAAGCGATAATTTCTTGTAGAGACACGCATACTGTAAGAGGCAACATGAAAGGCACAGTTCTGTTTGTTCTTTGTTCTGCTTTGATAGGATACCGAGTTAAAGAGGTTGATATTTTAGATAACCTTGTTTCCAATTGGTTATTCAGTGGGAAAACCTTGATTGGTTAGTCCCTGGATATTAATTTAATGTCAGCGGGTTGACATCAAAGCGTGGCCACCTGCAGTTAACTCAATCATGCCTGTCCACCATGGCCCCCATCTGACCACATTCATCCTGGCCAGTAATTATCTCTCAGTTTTAAAGGAGAAAACGGACTCCCTGTGTTGAATTTCAGGGAGTATAAATTTTTACATGGAATCTGACGTGCTCTTTCCGCCAAGTGATGTTCTTTGTGGTGCTATAAGGAAACTATAATATTTCCAATGATTGCAAATATTTTCATCATAACATTTACTTTGGATTTTTATTGGTTGCTCCCAATATTGCTTTAGTTTTTGCAAATTGTGGGTTTGGTTTTTGTGTAGGGTTTTTTGAAGGGGTAGGTGTTATTGTTTGGTTCAGTTTAGTTTATCAAGAGTTTCATTTGCTCTTGATGAAAACATGTTTTCGTAACCTGTATTTTGTGTCTTGTTAAACATTTTCATTTGTCTTTGCGTCTGTGCAGAAAATTCAAAACAAGTGTTTACCCCGTACACTTATGCAATAACCAATCGCTGTGTGTAATTTACAACATTTCCAGTAAATACAGATGAAATTTGCCGCAATTGACCAGCGAGGACATGAGTAGTCCTCACGCTGAACAAGAACAACTGATTATGTATGGATTTTTACATGCAGGGCCCTGGCCAAATTGCTTGGCATGGTCACTGGTTGGATAATTAAGACTGCTGGCCTTCCATGGATTATGCCGCCTTCAGATGCATTTTTGTTTTCAAGTTAGTTTTAGAGCAATTAGGACTGAAGGGATTGCGGACAGGTTTGTTTTTCCTTCCATTGCAGGAGAGCCTTAATGAAACTGTTTTGACAACAAACGGAGCATAAACAACGTCCTCCACCAGGAAAACAAAAAATCCTGATTCATTTGCAAATTTGTGTATTGAGTAGGAGATGTTCACTTGTTTTTGACTCATTTGTCCTTTCTTTCTACCAGTGAATAGTTTGCCACTAAATGTGCGTATGTGTGCTTTCTCAATTGAATTTCCAACCAAGCTCAGAAATATTACTTGAAATTTCCTATTGCCTCTATTTTGTAATCACCTTTCACAACCATATCAGAATTGATGACTTCCTGTATTGTAGAGACTCTTCATCGGAAAATCTAATAAGCTGTATAAATGATTTCTTCTTAAGGGCAATTACTAACAAACAAATTAATGAGTGTATGGTGGTCAATATCTGTTCATGTGATAGAAGTCGGAGCAGTGGTTAAAGTGAAGTCTGTTGGTACGGAGTTCAGATCACAGATGAGAGTTGGTTTCAACCATGTGCTCTGAAGTTAACTCCCCGAGGGGAGAGCCCGTGCAGTCAACAAAAATCCCAAATCAAGGCAACTGTTGGAATACAGGGACAGCTTTGAGAAGGTAGCCCAAGAAGATTGAGTAGGTAAAAGATGGATGAGTGCTGTGGTATTGAGCCCACCGGCCTCGAAGACACCCAGACCACAAGATGTTGGGAGAACAGATCCCCTGAAATCTTCCCTCACCAGGAGAGCATTCATGAGTGCCAGGGGGAGGGGGTTGATTTAATGTTGGAAATGTCTCACTGGGGAGGATTTTAGGGCTTAGAATGGAGTGCAAGGGGGCGCGTGCCCCTTGACCCCCTAATGTTGGTGACTACAGGATCTCATTGTGCTCGTGGAATTTTATGGTGGTTCAAGTGAAAGCGTGAAAGAGCATAAAATTTTTCTGAAAATCAGATGCTGGTACACTTTGTCGCTGGATAATGGAGCACTCGCTTGATTCTGTAAGAGCTTGATGGCATTATCAGATTGTTGATGGTTGGTCCGGCTTCTCCTGTCAAGTTTGGTCCATTCTACCGCTGAAGGCTGTCTTCAAACCTGGCTTCATAGTTTGAGTGTCAAAGTCACAAAGGTCTGGCAGCTGGCAAGCCTCAATCCAGAAATCAGACAGTGAAGGAAGAAAAGATCATTGAAGCTTACTTGTGGATTGTGAGGAGTTTGCTTTATTCTTGCAAAGATCTTGGTCCTTCCATTTAAAGGGATTTGAATTCAAACAAACAACATGGGAAAACAACATTTTGCATTTGCAGTGGAACGGTGAATAAAGTCAGTGGTACAAAGAGAACATGTACTCGATGGTGACACACATACATGTACATTTCCAGCAGCAGTTGAGTGCACAGTACTTTGCAAGCTGTAAGTTTGTGAACAGGCTGTCAAGACAGAAACTGCTTGCAAAGATAATGGCCTAGCCAGCTCGGGAGAAGTCAGTGATGATGTACGTATTCCAACACCCTGCCTTCGTGCAGGAAGCATAGGAGATGTGGTTGAAGATGTGTATCTGGACATATTGATGTGTGGCTATGGAAACCGTTAACAGGAAAGTTTCTAGTGTCAGTTCCATTGGAGTCTGTAATGCATTGAGTCACATCAGTGTGATGCATTACTGCGTGCATGGTGTACATGCCTGCCCGGGCCCAGAAGTTGTCTGGCATTACTTTCCGATTAAAATGAAGTTGATCCGTAATTCTGATGTTTAGATTTGGGTTTGCTGCCTCGTATTCCATCGTTGCAGCAGCGGGGTTTTGGTGAGCCTGAGTTGATTCACCCCACAGATGAGCTCACAGAATCCATGATTGATTTTCAGGAGGTTCAATCACCGGCCTTGGCGCCAGGCTGAAGTGGGATAGCACTCCAGGCGCGTGTTGTCTAATGGTGACACCGTCTAACGAGTGAGGGGTGTTCGAATCCGTGCCAGGGCACTCCAGTGCAGCAGTCTCCGTCAATCGCAGCATCTCAAGAGCCCCCCAAAGCTTAAGGAAGCAGCATTGTCTTGCTTTTCTTCATCTTGGCAGCAGTGAAGACAAGGAGATGAAGTGGATCTGTGAATGACAACGAAGCATTGACCCCGCTCAGAGGCAGGGATTCTCGGAGGATGAAAATGAGCCAAGAAGTTTAGTTTGCCCTCCCCTATTTTCATTCAGCATGGCTTGTTTTCTGTTCAGGCAGATAATTGGTCACCATTCCACTTACCACTGACACAAGAAGGCACTTCTCGTTTTCCTTATTGCGCGTAGATTTTTGGATATCTGCAAAGTGCACAGTTCCAGAAGCCTCATAGCTACACTTGGCTGTAAGTGTCAAAGTGTCAGGAGGTCAAAAATACATGTAGCTTAACATCAATGTGTCCTTTTCCAGAAAGGAAGAATAAATACTGAAAGATGGTCAAGAAACATTTGGAAAGCCAGTGTTTAGTAAGACAGAAATAGACATTACAAACTCAAAAATTTATAGCTATTCTACACTATTGTTATGTTCATGTTCTCGTTAGGAATGCCTTGTGTTTGTGTCCACAACATGGAATGTGTCCAGGAAGAGGTTCTATGAACATTTTCATGTCGTAATGTTGTCTGGAGCTTTGCCGTGTATCGCAACATCACATCTCCAAACTGTCAGATTGCAGCCAGGGCCACGGTCTGTATCTGATCAGAAATGGATTCTTGAGAGCCGACATCTAAGTAGAAATCTCCCCAGCCAAGAGAGAAGCGGCTTCTCCCTGTTTCTCTCTTGTTCTTGTGGTGCTGTTTATGTCGAGGTCAGTACTGCATGCCTCAAAGACAGACAGTTAAAAAAATGGAGGGAGAACAGAGAGTCCGTGTAATGAAATCACAGCCGTGGGAGATCAGGAAATAGAAAAAAACAAAATGAAACGAGACTCGTGCACTGTGAACGTACAGTGTTTGCGAGAGCCAGTGTTTTGAAATTGGGTTGCAAAAAGCTTAATTAGATAAATCGGACTGGGTCCTGCAGAAATGCTGCGGGCAGGCCATGTCCTTTTCATCCTAGAGACTATGTAGTGGCGGGAGTTCTGTTTCCGACTTCGAGGTTTTCTACAAAGACACGAAGGGGTATGGGGTTGCAGACAGTGGACGGGATTTAAATAGGGACTTTCCTGTAAAATTTTTCTTTAATCCAGCAAACATGTTTTCAGAGAAGTGTTTTTTGCACGTTTAAGTTTTTTCATAACTGACGAGGGGATGGATCTGCAAAAACAAAAGTTATGATGACATCTCATTCTTTGAAAAGGGAATTTGCATCAAATCTTCCTTTGTAAAATGTCAACTAAACTTAATAGTTATGTACCTCACTGAAGTGTTGGCATTTTTAGAAAATGTATTACCGCTTGTCATGTTTAAAATCTGTGACTACCAGTTCCCCAGCTGACATTCTGTCCATTTTGCCAGGTTTTTCACAGTTACAGGTGTTTCTCTCTTGTGTTTATTGTACAAGAATTAAAAAAAAATCCAGTGCATTTCTTTTGTCACACCTTTAGCGTTAGGTTTGACTTTACAAGTCATTATATGTTAATACCTGAATATACATGTATATATGCAACTGGGTTTCGATGCATTTGTGGCAAAACAAAACTGTCCCGCTAATTGCCTAGTTGGCACAAGTTGCACACATCCCCCAAGGATATGAAAACCTGGCTCCAGCCAGCAGGGGCTGTGTGGACCAATTCCAATTTATCTACGATTCCGGCTCAGATCTCTCCAAATGTTATTAGTTTTTAATCTGTTGTGCTTCCCCCTGTGCAGAGAAGAGCCTGATTCAGGAGGGATGAGAAAGATAGGGAGGGAAGGAGTTGGACCAAACAAATTCATTTTTGCAGACTGACTACACAGCCCTCGGGGTATTTTCCTACACATTTGGGGTGTACGGTCTATGGGGGTCAAAGTAGGTCAGCGGCAACCTGCAGGAAGAACATGAAAAAAACAGAGAGAAAACACACACAGAAATTTTGACAGAACCAATCTCTTAGGGTGAAAAAAAGCGAGAATGAGAGGATTGTGTGACTGGAGGAAAAAAAAGGAACCCCGGAAGAGGACCGAAATTGTGAATCCCGAGGCTGTTTTATCAACAGAAAACGAAAGGGTGCAATTACGGTTTGGGACAGAGACCGATACAAGCCGGAAGGACACTGGCTGGGGACAGAGAAGAAATCAAATTAGGCAGAGGCCGCAGCGCGGGGCGACAGTGCAGCAGTGCAGCGTGGGTTACCTGCAGGGAGGAAAGACGGCTACCTGTGAGATAATGCACAGCATTGGCCGCTGGTTACAGGTGATCTGCTTGTCAGTTAGCCCAGGTTTCAGCAACACCTGCGTCGCTCCTCGGACAAATTCTCAAATTAAATACAGGATGAGAGTAGCTAGTTGCTGTCTTTCAATTTGCTGACGTGTACTCGGTTTACAAATATGTGTTAAACCATCGTACATGTAGAATGCAAAGACGAGGAAAACCCAATTTACTTTTACAATGCAACTGTAAACTATGCTAAGAAAGATTTGATTGGTTCCAGAAGCTTTGTAAAAATGAACTTCTTATTCTCTTTAAGTTATTAACCTCCTAAAACCTTCCTGAAACTTTAAATGTTTGCTACGGTACTTACATTTTTGGTGAGGAAGCAGTAATTTCCATATAGATGAACTTTTACGCAAACACACCTTATCCATATAGATGAACTTTTACGTAAACACACCTTAGTTAAGAATTTGTTTACTCTCTAATTAAGAAGAGCTTTTAGATTTGACATGATTAGACACACAGGTACATTCCAGTTAAGCCACGTTTAGTTTTCAGAAGATATCTTTAGAATATGGATGACTGTTTTCTTGAAGGGGGATTTCTGTTAAACTCCATTACATTTTGGGAAATTCATAAATATGCATCAGTCACTTGAATCAGAAGATACAATCTCTAAAATGGAGAGGCTTAACGAGTCAATCAGAGTTTGGATCATGAGTTGATGAGTCAAGTCACAAGTCCAGTTGCAAGCAGCAAGGGGATGACCAGAGACAAAGACAAGGTTTTTTTCACAGGTCAGTCGGGACTTAGCTTGAGGGTGGAGGACTTGTTATTGACTTGCATGGACTTGACCATAGCAGTGGTAGAAATTGCATAAAAGGTTCAAATAGCCAAGGAGCTTCCTAGGAAAAAAAAAAACCAACATTTTCCTGCCTTGTCCCAAGATCACGTTACAGAAGGCTAGTAATCTGGCCCAGCAGACTACACTTATCTGTCAGACAGCAGGCAGAAACACTTTTGACACCTCGCTAGAGCAGTGACAGCCAAGCTTAATGGTCTGTGTAACGACCCCGATACCATAAATCATCCAGAATTTCAATTTGCAATTTTCTTGATGTTGAAGAGCAAGGGAAAACTTAGCCCGTAGCTTACGAGTTGTACATCTCTTGATAGCTGTACATGGTGTGGCCCCATTGGTTGTGGATGAAGTTGTGTCTGTGATTGTGAGGTGGAGGGTAAACTTCAAAAGAAATGTACCAAAATGTGATGATGGATAAATTGGAGTGCACTTATGTTAACGAGTGACAGCTTTGTTGCCAATTTGTATCTGACCGTATTCATCAAGTCTGCAAGTCAAGGAAGATTAACGAGAAAATTGAATTTTTGTTGGTAAGAGCATTATCTAATAGATTACGAAGGTTAATGTTAATTTACAGAGGGAAATGAGAATTGCAAATGGTTAAAGCCGGTCAGCAGAAGCAGAGGTTGAGTTTTATTTTTAGTGCACGGCATCAAAAATCCTGCTTAACACAAGACAAATTTGATTCATTACCATGTCTCCTGCGTCATCTCCCCCCCCTCCCCGACCAACGCAAATTCATTAAACTTTAAATGTCAGCTTCTGGCTGCACAGATCCTACAGAGAAAGTGTCCCAAGACCACACAACGCTGTTAATGATTGCCCCTTAATCAGTGTGATAAATGCAAACTCTACGTGGGACGCCATTTGGATTTACCTTGTCCCTGCTTCCTTGGCTCCTTTCTTCCTGTTACTCAAGAGGTCCCCTCCTCGTACTTAATCATTGCCAACAACAAGAGACGTGGAGAGAAGGAAAACATCCGACATTGTGCGCCCTTTCCGTGCGATGAGTTTTGCACTATTTAATTTCCCACCACTTCCCTCCTACAAAAAAAAAATTATAAGGAAGACAGGTTCTTTGGATCTTTATAAAGGAATTGTGTGGTGATCTTGTGGTGAGAATCAAGAAGCCTGTATTGCAAATTTCTTCAGGATTGAAACTTCAGAGGATCCATGAATGTTGTCCGTACCGGTAGTCTGCTTGTGAATTGACGTACGGAGTTGTAGCACAGCTGGACTTCTGCATTAACGTCCATGGTTCAAAGTTTGTTTATGATGCTTTATAAAATTTTATATTTAAAATGACAGTGTGGTATGGGACATTAATTAACAAGGTCCCCATTTTGACAGCTACCTTCATGTCCAAGCTTTTACAAACGATCATTGCTAAGCCACATTCACGATATGGCTGATGAGTTTTCTCTCCTTTTTCAAGTCTTGAGTGACATTTTGTTTCTTTTTTTTTTCATACATGTTGACTGCAGGTTGATCCAAACAGCATAGCCGGAGAAGACGGCAGAATCAAGGAGGGTGATCAGATATTGCAGGTATTCACTTTACCTTCCAATTAATTGGATTAAGTAATACAAACCTCCCTCCTTCAGGATCCCATGGTCCCACCCCTCCCATCAGAATTTGGAATTTTATAGTGTTTAATAGGACCACATGAAACAGCTGTACAGTCACAGGACACTACGGTGCAACTGGGACTAGGAACTTTACATGCCCATCATGCACATGAGCTGCATTCTGGCCTCCAAAGATTGGCACATGGTAACTTCAATGTTAGATATGAATGTGATATCCAGTTGGTATTTAGAGATCATTGGATGTGTCATCTGGGGGCCTGTTTGATTCACGCGGATCCAAATTGCGATAAGTGATCCGATGTTGGTTCACTGACACCAGAACCTACATAATGAATGGATGGAACCAGCGTTGGGATCACTGATCGAGATCCAGATCTGTAGGAAACAAACAGCCTCTATGGTTCAGAAGTTTTTTGGACTTTCATTGGAGTGACAATTTTGGAGACGATTACGGGGTTGTGTTAATCACTTTACTGTTCCAGTTTTGGGTGGTTCTCAATTTCATTATTTTCTGTGGATACACTGTGCTACAGTCGACTGATATAATTTCTCTTTTTTGTTCCTTGACTCTGCCGGGCGGGTTTACCGAATGAGCTCATCTTTGTCAGCAAGGATGTCAATAATTTGATTTGTGTTGAGAATTACCGCCACGAATGTGCGTATCAAGCTCGGAATCATGCCGTCAAAAGCAAGCAGTTCAAACAACCCGGAGCATTAATTGGGGGCAAACATGATCGCATGTCACTAAGTAATAACGCCACTTCCCCAAGCTCCATTACGTCTTCGCAATCAAACATCTTTAAATCGATGACTCTTGAATAAATACTGACTCGAGTAATTTCCTCGCTGTAATGGATTGTTGGCTGAATCAATGACAGAATAATTCTCTAAGTCCACAAATTAGACCCAAAGACGAAGGAGTGGAAATATCCAAAGTTCAGCACGCCTTTCCCCTTGGACAAACATCCGCAGATAAAACTGACCCCGAGATAAATGCAATCTTGGAGCATTTATTCTACTTGAGAGTTGCATTAGGACCCTCCAGACGCGAACACCAAGGTTCATTTGCGACAAGATCCCAGCATCCGAGATTAATACCGTTTCATCTCGGGGTTTCGGAGGGTTGTGTCTCTGCGTGATACTTTGTCTGGCATACTTTATCAAAGTCCAGAAGCCCATTGTGTCTTAGTCTCATTTATCAACCCTCGCTGGGTATGTGTGTCTCATTTTGTCAAGACGCTCTATTGAGAAAGTATTGTACTCTGTATATTACCAAGTTCAATTAATTGACATATCATCAGAAAAGAGTTCAGAGTGGTATGAGAGTTGATCTGTAGTCCAAGCATTGTCGTGCTTCTCCAACGTCGTTGACTGAAAACTTGGACAGGAAGGAAGCAGACTGACATCTCTGTGATTGTCAAGATGAAAACACCAACTTTTGACTACATTAAATCACTTGCAATTCCGTCTTCTCTGCCTAATACTAGGATGCCTTTTAAAACAGCAATAAAGGACTTGTGATTTTAATTACATCAGCATCAGAGGGCTGCTCACTGTGGAAGAAAGTGATACTTTGAATATGTTACTACTTCATGTAGATGACAAACAAATGAAAAAGAGGAATAAATAGGAAGCAATATTACTGTCCGCTCACGTGCTATTACCAAGATGGTCATTGTTGCAGAAATCACTGTACCAGCTTTACTAGTTTGCAACATGCATGCAAAATATTGAAATAAACAGGAACAGGTGTAATTATTCTTACAGTAAATGTACGTTACCAACTAGCACCATAATGCAGTACCGAGTGAATATGTCAGCGCGGGAACCAACACTCTCACTTACTCCATTTGTTTGCATTACACTTCCTGGCTCAAAATGACATCACGCTTAGGCACTCCATGAACCTGCTTCAGTGTTGAACTTTTTAATGGATATTTTCTTACAAGTCATTCAGTTGTCTTGGTTTCATTTCCTCCTTTGCACAGATCAATGGCGAAGATGTGCACAGTAATGATCAAGCCTTGTCACTGTTCGCCCAGCAGTCAGATAGTACCTCGTTACTCCTCTGCAGATCACAGCTACAGGTAAGACACGAGAGATAAATTAAGACATAAGATTCCAACTGAGTCATTGCTGGGTAGAGGTTAGATAAGACTCGATGAGGCATGAACCCAAATGCTACATTCTTGAAGTGCTTGCTGTGATTTGTGCTTTTTTGTGTTAACTTAGTCTGTTTTCCTTTGTTCTTCATCATTTGAAAAGTAAGCACCAGTGAAAGTTTCAAAGATGGGTCTGATTTTGTGTAGCGAGCATTCTGTGAAATTAGCATTCACGTGCCAGCGATGATTGAGAGAAAAATTACAGATATGGGTCATCACTCAAGCTGGCTAGCATTGTGGAAGACAGAGTATTGAAAAAGCGGCTAACAGTTTCACAGCTCATTGAAAACAAGTCCGAAATCCAAGAGATTGTAATCAGGGGACAAGGCTTTGTAATATGGCCTGTGCCGACAGCAGGCATTCTCCTCGTGTGTGCTCGATATTAAGAACAAAATTTAGCTCAAAGGAAGCGACTCACTGCTTAAAAAACAAGAGAGCAAGAAAGAAAAAAAGAAAGAGGTTTGCCATGTCCCTCGATACAAAGCTCAAGAGTGGTGCATGAGCCCGCCCGGCAGAGCTAGTGATGGATAGATGAGACTTTGATACATGTTTTTAAGGGTTTTTTTTTTCCTTTGGAGGGAGAAATCCTAGGAAATTTCTATTGCATGGTTGGAACGCATCTTCGACGAGGCAAGTGCCTCATTTGGTCGGCAATCAATCGCCCGTCCTATGTTCAGCAGCGGAATGCTTTTGTCGGTGAGATCAAAGGCCTGAGTTCAATGAAGCTTGCTGCTCCTGGTAAGCGGCGAAGGAACTGTCGGGAAGACCACTGGTTAAATTGGAAAAGATAAAATAAGAGAGGTCATACCCTGCACATCAAGATGCTGTGATTGTGACGTCGGGCAAATTCTCGAGTAGAGATTTGATTTCTTCCGTTTTTAAAAATTCATTTTGATTTATTATGAATGATTAAGGATGTGTTCTTTCAGTCCTTTTGAAATGTACATGTAGCTTTTGTACTTTTTACATTGGAAGACTTTCATCTTGGATTTGGGAATGTTTTGCAAGCATATGATTCCGACTTTACAGAATTGCAGGCTGGATTCAGTCAGGTGAAATTTGATTGGATAGCTTGATATTTCCCTTTTCTCCCCTGTTTGTCGGTATTTGTTCTTCAGTTCATTCTCAAGATAATTGTCTGCCTCGGGATGCTGTTTGGTTCATACAGGATGTTGTGCTGAAGACTCTAGATTGTCGAGATTTGAATCGTATTGGAGGCATTGTGTAAGTCTCCAAATTCCAGCACCAAGATGCGGTACACCTCAGCGTAAGAGGAGCAGGATTTTGAAAATGCTGAGGATAAAATGGCCGAAGCTTATTAACTTGTAATAGAAACTGCCCTTCAGTGGATGCTGGTGTCATTTTTTTGTCCAGGAATTTTCCGATGGATATTCCAAGGAGAGATTTACTACGTGGTCACATTCTTGCGGTGGACCCATCGGTCTTGAAATTGCCGAGCACCGGCAGACATTTGGAATGCCGAGTTCAACAGTTTAAAATATTGTCTGACGAAAATGTTAAATGTTGGCATGACTGTGATGCCAGTGTCTCCCGTGCCAAAGAGGCAAAAGGAGACAGGTTTGCTGAATGATTCCCAGGTTGGACTTGCAGTAAAATGTTTTCTTCATTAATGCCTTCAGGATTTAATATAGCAAATAATGAATGTGGGGTCGGTAATTGTGGGACCTGTGTTCAATTTCAGACCAAAAGAAAGGTGACTTTCCTCTTAACACGATTGAACTTTCTCTTGGTCATGTTCCAGTGAATTCATCCCCAGGCTTTAATGGGAGATCCAGTAACTACACTGTGAAAAAACGGTTCAAAATGTTGACTTCGGTCATCTTCAATGAGTCTTCAAGATATTTTTCTTAAGATCTCTTGTTACTTGTCATTGGACTTAAATTCTGTGAAATCTGTAATAATGCTTGTGTTCTGGAAATGCTGGCATGTCAGCACATGTGCACATTTAAATACCCTTGCTACCTTGAAACCTTTGTTAGTTTCTGAATAAAGATTTTCAGTAATGGACTTCTTCTAACGACCTCAAAAGCCGTACACAGGCCATTTTGAAGCATGATATTGCTTACATCATAATTAAAACCACACAACCCTCATAAATATTGACTCATTTGTAGAAACTCTTCTCCCGTTCATAATCCAAGGGGTTAGATTTTAACATCCCATTATATGCATATTCCAGATTTTTAAATGTGTTGAAGAAGAAAAGGAGATTTGCATGAACTCAAATTAGCATCCCGAGTAACGGTTTCACTCGAGTCCCTTCTGATTTGTTAAAGATCACCCAAGTGCAAAAGATGGTAAGGGAAGGCCAGCATTTTTTGCTCAACTGGTTTGCCAGCCCTGCCTAGGCTAGGTGCTGACTTGCTGGTCCATTAGCGCCATCCTAAGTTGTTTGTGACAAGAAGTTAGCCTTGCTGGAGCAAGCAACATCCTCCCTGACTCCGAGCTGAACAAATCTGCCCCCGGATGCTGGTGACTACACTCCAATGGGCCGAGATGTAATCAGCTGGAAAGTCGTCTTTTTCTCGATGCATTTAATTCACTTTTTTTCCGTTTCTTCTTTCCCGCTTCCATTTTTGCAGTGAAGTGAAAGACTGAGGCATGCTTACAGGAAATGCCGCGACTGTTATAAGAAACAGTTTCTGTCCTTTTTTATGCTGTCGTGATTTCCCCCAAGACATTACTGTATTTTGTTTGCGGTGCCGAACGTCAAATGTAAAATCAGAAAAGTAATTTAATTTGTGCGACTTGAATGCAAAGCACTTTCTCAATTCAGGTCCTTTTTTCTTTCATTTCGGCACCCGTGCAAGCACAGACGAGTTGAACTTAATTAACAAGAGCTTGTTCCCTGTCGCCAAGAAAATCATATAAAAAAAATTGGGAAATGTTTGATTTGTCATGGCGTATGAGATAATTTTTTTTCTCTATACTGTCAGCATTCCCATGGAGTATTTGTTACATTATCCTTCCATTTCAGCAGAGAGTTTTTTTTTTGGCATGCATGTGTCTCGGCAATAATTCTTCTCCTTGCCTTTGATAAATCTTCATTAGGGATCCGTTTGATGTGCGGCACATGCCGCCGTTGACCTAAGCCTAAATACCCCCCGGCCATGCAGACAGCGGTAAAGCAAGCCCACACCGACATAGGCATCCAAATGATGATATGATGTCCGATATCGGTTTATTTCTGAGCCGAGTCGACATCTCACGTGTGAAGCGTTTTACCAAGATGCTCATCAGTTTCTACTTGAATAGGTTCTTAGACCATTTTAAATCTTTTAATAGTCAAAGCTTTTTACTTATCCTGCGTGCTGTCTACGTTTTTCATTTGATGTTTCCTTTTTTTGATTGAAAGTAGCCAAAAGCTCCTTCCATTGTAGATTAAAAGACGGTAGACGAACGATTTATACTCATGGGCAGTGAGCAGCAGATCAGGTCAGTAGAATGAGCAAGACAGAGTTTGTACAGGATCCTGTACAGGATCGCCATGGCAACCTGAATTGCTTTCATTTTACTATTACCTATTGAAATTTTCTATTTCTTGGAAATTTTGTCACGCCTTTTGCTCTGAAAAATACCCAGAATTCAAATTCTGCAGAAATTTTGTGACGGCTCAAAATTATGCGTGTATTTCATGCATTTTGAAGTACATGTACAAGACAAGCTTGTTTCCAAATGGACAACTTCCCAAATTTCCTGCGTTTAGTCAGAACACCTGCTGTGAAGCAAAATACACTGACAAATGAGGGGTTTGGGGCCGGTTTTACCCTGAGAGTGTGTTCAGTAAAGCTCCCCTTTCATCATCTCACCACCTATGTGAATCCGGAGTGCAGGTACCGAGAATTTACCTCCCATTGGTTCCTGCTGTAGGCTTAATTAATTGGATAGAAATTGCACTTTAGGGCCATCATCGGCTGGTCTGCGGAACAGGAAACTTCAAATTGCTAATAATGTTCTGAAACCCTGAGTCCTTGAGACACATAATACGATGAGTCAGGGGCGAGGCTTATACCTGTCCAAACCGCAGTATCTTTTTTCTCCGTTGGATGAGGCAGGGAAATCGGCTTGTGTTAGATGAAGAGATAGACAAAAAACGCACTGCGTGGCACTGAAAAAACATACTTATGTTAACATGCTTACCTTGTGTGAAAGGTGGAGTTAATTTTGTTTTTCTGTAGAACCTTGTTGACAGTTCGTTTTTCTTTTTCTTAATTCATGATTTTTTTCATATTGTACTGGGCCCTTAAGTCATGGCTGTGTCGGAATGATCTTCAGACATATGTAACCTATAAAGCACCCTTTGATAATTTGTCAAAAATGAATTTCATGTGTCTAACTACAACTTTTCCCACCCCAATTTTGCTGTCATCAACTTCAAGTGCTTCATCTCCAAGTCAAAGCTCCAGTTCCACATCTTACATAAATGTACATGTATCCACTCCAAGCTTCCTTCGCTGCCCAGTGTCATCCCACGTGCAGCCTCGCTAGAACCGGACTTCAACCCACCCTGAACCCATTTCAATCTAGTTTAGCCCGTCTCCTGAATGATTTCTCTCCATGGCTCTTACCGTATTTCTATGAATTCTACTCCCTGTGACGTCACAGTCATGGTGGCCCCCTTGCCTTAACTCCACTGCAATACCATCCAGCAGATGTTCATCTGCAGACAGTAGCTTCATGAGTTCCCCTAGATAAAAAAGTTCTTTCCTAAGGTGTGTGGCGTCTGAAAAGAGTGCATATGCTGGTAGGAAATTTTAGGGGTGAGTGTGGACTGATTCAGTGTGCAGCTACAACGTAGGTGTTAACTGGTTTAGAATAACAGCAACAAGAGATTAGGTGGCATTTGTTTTCAAGTCAAATGAACAATGCCTTCAAGGGTGCAAGTTAATCGGTGATCAGTCTGCTGAACATTTTTCCGCCACTTTCAGCTGCAGCAGACACACTTTTTTCTTTAGTTATTTCCAATTTCACATTTTTTCCAAAGCCCCCCTTAAAAACAAGAAAAAGAAATAAAAATATAACTTAAGGGCCACACTGTCAAAATAGAGTAGGTCAGAAAACAGGAGGCACACAGTGTTGATTTGGTTTTTGGAAGCCAAAGTAGATTATAGGAAAGAGGAATAAAATGTTTAAGTTTTAAGAGTGTAAACCAGTAAGTCCATGTAAGTCCTCGCATCCCTACTTTCTGTGGGAAATCATTCATGCAAACGATGATACAACAACTGTTTGCTTTGTGAACCCTGAACCTTGCTCGCAAACAGTGTTTATTCTTCGGGGAAAACTCCACAGTTAATCCCGCCCTATAAATTGTAATTTTCGCCAATCACAAAACACTTTCCTTATGTCAACAGTCCAATCATAGAGGCCCCGCTGTGCCCTGAGAGTGGATATTGGCGCTCACCGGAAATCATAAAAAAATGTGAACATCCAGTGATTACGGCCAGTGTAAACAATTTTGAGGAGTGAGAGAGCCAGGTGTCATTGAACTTCGCCTAGCCAAACAGAGTCAATGATCGGCTAATCAGATTTGCTGTCTTGATGACACTGGAAACGAGTAGTTGGTACGAAAACTGATACGGCAGTCTCACACAAAGCAAGCGCAGCTTTTAATGAGTAATAAAAAAAATCCTGTCATAACTATTGAAGATGGACGGCAAAACTTCTCGCATTTCATCGGGTACTTTAGCGCTGTATTGAGCACCCTATTGAGGCCGCCAGGAAACACGGAGCCAAACTATAGATTAGTTTCATAATAGAACGATCGTATTCTGACACTACGCTCTCTTGAGTTCCGTATGGTGCGATAGCTATCAAGCAATCCAAATATCACCTTTTTTCTGTGGTTCACATCCTTTGCTGCTGTTTTTATTGCCATGGGATTTATATAGCTCATCCGATCATGTTGTCGGTAGTGAAAAGCCTAGAGTGGTATTTTTGGCACGCGCGAGATGTTTTCGACGGAAGTCTGCAACTGATATGTTTTCATTCCTCCTTGCTGCCTGGGCACTTCAATAAGCAACTAAAGACTGATCTTTAACCTGGTACAGTTTTACGCCGCATCGATTGAAAGTGCTGGAAAGCAAATTGATTCCAGGATAAAGTGTTTTCAATGAGGAATATCACTAACTTGTTTTCTGTACCTTGCTAGAAATTGTTTGTCTTAGCTTGGACGGAATCATAATAGCAAAGCCTATAAATTCAAAGATTTAGAAGAGTTGTTTCCTTTTCATGTTTTATTGAATTCTTCATTTCCATACCATGCTTTGTATAACTTTTGTTAATTTGTTTTTTAGTTTACTGGACTTCTTTGCTTGTCTTACTTTCTTTAGCACTTGTTTGTCCAAGTTGTGAAATGGGGCACTTTTTACTGCAACTCCAACCTGAAACTACCCCAGTCAGAATCTGTCATCAAGGGGAGCTTGAAAACCCCAGTCTCATTAAATTGGGTCTGGTTTCTGACCCAACCTGGTGACATCTGGCCCCCTTGGGTCATTTGGCCAAAGTGTGACAGTTATCGGCTTCTTTGCTGGCGGCCTGTGCCTGGGGCCCCAGGAATAATGAAGTGATGAGTGGTCAGTAGTTTCAGCATTAATCAAAAGTCATTGTGCTACTTCTAAACCTCAAATGAATGTTTAGTTTGTCCCATTTTACTTGCCGCCACAAGTGATTCTGTTTGATTTCCTGCCATTGGGGAATTCTACAAAAAGATACAAGGATTAGGCACGTAGTGTAGGTTGTCCAAACATTTTGGATTTGCTGGAAAGTGCAACTCAGCCAAGTTTCAAAGTGATCCTTAAAATGCATAAATTTCTACAACTTGTGGACAGCAGGAGATTGGATGTAACAACATGTAGGATCTGAATTGAAATCAGTGTCAAAGCTTCCATATTGGTTAACACCATGCTGTGTTCAGTTGGGCATTTCGGGTAATACCTGTACATATAGTCTTGTTCCTTTTTCCTCTGTACATTTTTCAATATCGGTCTTTGCCTTTATCTTCATGTGATCCTTTCTGTCAACATCGTTTCTGTTAACAAATGTTGCTTTTGTACCATTTGTTCATCACTTGGGCTGAATAGTTTCCAGTGTTTTTATCTAAAATTTCCCATGCTTGGGTGGTCTTGTATTTGACTCCCCTATCTTTTGCAATTCTAATTCTCTCTGTTCTGTAGAGAAATGTTTTTCCTCCAAGTGTCATCCTCCACATCATCTGGGGGGGTCTCTGATTGGCCTTGAATGTTTCACATCCATTTTGCAATTTAAAATAAGCCGTCTGGTCTGCTCTAAGAAAAGTGTATCCAGTCCTTCAACCTCTTACCCACTGCTAGAATCCAATTTGTTAAAGATGTAGCTGTCTAATGTGGCCCATCAATCACCTGGGGGGTGTTGCCTGGCAGCATGTAGGTGGCAGGGAAGTAAAATTCCTACTCTGCCATCTTTGGGCCTGAGAACTTCTCCACCTGAGGTGTTTCAAAACACCTTTCTAACATAAATTTGACAAAGGAGTGTGTTTGTTATTGGGAGAGGACTGCAGTTAATGGTAATCACACCCACATGTACACTAGGAAAACTAATAATGGACATGCAGTGATGGTGGGTTGAGATTTTCAAGAAGTATTCTGCTTGGTTTACTTGTGTACGTAGAACTTTAAATTTGTTTTGAGTTCCAGCAGGCTCCCCAGAGTTACCTGCATGCAGCTGCAGCTCTGAAAAAAAAATGACCCTGTCTATCTGGACTGAGTACCTCGTCATGCCATGGTGCCTCAAGATGCTAAGGGTCAAACTTAGCTTTTCTAGTGTGGACTGCATGGTATAGACTGTATATAACTTGCTTGCAGATTCCACTTAAGTGAGACATGTTTTGTTGGTCTAGCCAGAGTGTACCTTTAATGTCTCTCATGCGGAGGGAAATTTGTCAGACTGGACAGCAGTTCCATCATAATTATCCATGATTTATGGTGACGGGGGTGATTTGTCTGTGTGTTTTTCTTCATCAGAAATTCATTTAGGTTTTATGAGTGGTGATCCATTTATCCAGAAACTGAGGAAATGGAGAAAAAAATAAGGAAAGGGTGCAGGTTGTTTTGAGGTAGTGCATGCAAGAATGAATTGAGTGTAGTCGGCACGGGTTAAAGCGGCGCATTTGCTCTGTTGGTTACATCATTGTTATTCTTGCCTGTTGTTGCTGCGTCTCTGTTCAAGACTTGAGTTGCCAGTGTTGCTATTGCTAGTGGCACTTCTCTGTTGCTGGTGTTATGATGTCGGCTAATGCTGCCAGCAGTATTGTGTCTGATGGTGCTGGTTGTGCTTTAGTCGCTGCTGTTGTAGATGATACACACTGCTTCGCCTGCTGTTTCCGTTGCCACTACGGTGTCTGCTTCTGCAGAGCATCTCCATTAATCTCATACAATGCTGTAAAAAAGAATTTATCACAGGATACTCACAGGATGAAAGTTATTACACTTCTGGAATTTCCCCCATTTTTTCTCTCTGCCAACAGTTTGACGAATGCCTGTTCGATGAACACAATGCATTACTGGAGGACATACAGCTAGACATGCTCGAACAAACACACCAAGAGGCCATGCAGTTTACATCTTGCTTACTGGCAGAACATGTAAGTAATTTTAAAAAAAAAAAATCAACATGACAATGTTACCCCCATAAGCCTCGGTGTTTATGTGATTCTGTAAGTAGCACGCCATTTGATACATCTGCTTTATTTGTTTATGTGAATTAAATTAACAAGTGCAGTGGTACAGTTGACTTTGATTTGGGTTTTTTTTTTTTACATGGGTAAGTAAATGTGGGGGGGTTCATTTGGCTTACATACTGACCTTTTTGCTTTCATTTTTCAAACACTCTTAGACAAACTCATGCCTTTCCAAACAATTCTGTGGATTTTTTTGGTTGTAATTCAGTCACATGTCCTGTGTTAAAAAATTCTGTAAATAAATACTTAACAAGATGGCAGTGTGGTTGTGTGGGTAAAAAAAAATACATGGTACCACGTTATGCCCATAAAGTCAAGAAAACAGAATCCACAACAAGTCGGGTGGCCACCAATCACCCAATGAAAATGCCATCTAGGGTTTCAGCTCATCCTCAAGTAACTGAGAACACCTCTGGAAAGCTTGTAATTATTACCGTCCTTCAAAGAGACACTGGTAGCTATTCTTGACAACCTCCCTGTTTGTATCTGTTGAAGATGTCTGCTTCTTTTCTTGCTGCATTTATTCATCACGGAGAATCACAGCATGCTTTGAAAGCATGGCGCATGGATGAAATTTTCTTTTGGGGGGGGCACTCTGGCCTGGGGCTTCTTTTATCGTCGTTGCAATCAGCAGGTTTTTCTCGCAGATGGGTTTAAAGAAAAGCGGCTCCAGTTTCTTTCCACCGCACTTGCCAGGAGGCTGTGTGGCTGTGCACTCTAGATTCAGCAGGTAACCATCTCCCCAGCCTATGAGCACAGCCGGCCGGTCCTCTGCATTGAACACTGCTCATGGATGAGTTGGGTAGGTGTAAAAAAAGAAAAAAAAAATTAAGAAAAAAAAGCTTTGATCGTACGTAACCGCTACGAGCTAGGAAACCAGAGATCTCCAATCATGCCAGGGAAAAAGTTTGCTCTGTAGAATTGGTGATCTGGATGTGACATTTGGGAAATCTTCTCCTGTGCTGTGCTGTCAAGTTAGCCTGCCGATATTCTCAAGTTCTCCACCCAGGGGGAGTAATTAACCGACGAATTGCCTTGGAAACTCCAGGCTGAAATTCCAAACGGTATCTGGAAATTGCATTGGCAATGAAGAATCAACTACTCGTTGAAATGTAACACATGCAGATGATGCCGTGTTTAAAAAACTGAATCAGATGGAGGGGAGGCCGAAGACAAGCCTTAGCATAATTGTGCTGCAGTACACACGGTTGCCATGGTGAAGGGACCGCAGTCTTCACCAGGCAAAAATACTGTGCAATTTTGTTGTTTTCATCATCGGAAACCAGCTGTGACATTCCATGTTCTGTCATTCAGTCATGATAATGGTGAGCGTTGTGACTCATTTTGTGCTCATTTGCTGTCAGTTGTATTCATTCTATGGTTCTATCTTCCTGTCTCTCCTTAATGGGCCCATTAGGACCATCTGTTGGATCTGCTCATGCTCTTTCCTTCATGCTGTCCTTTTGTTGCCATGGAAACAGGTAACCGCATAGGATAGGCATCCCACCTCCAATCTTGATGCCTAATCCGGGAAGTTGATATACAGAGAGAAGATGGTAACGGATAAAGCGTCGGACGGTCTTTGAGCTTGTTAGGCTGTCTGCCTGCACATTAGCAGACCTGTCAGACAAATTCGCCCTTGCTCCCCTTGTCTTTGTGATCCGCCTACATTTGCACAGTGTGATGACAGATCGCTATCATGCATTAAATCCTGCTGACGTGACACTCCAAGCACGGCTGATTGCATGGGGTGTAAACGAGCTAATACCGCACCAAGGTTCATCCGATAAAGCTTTCCTGTAATCAAGAAAGAGACAAGAATGAACATTGGAATTTCCTTTCTCTGGTTTATTTTTCGTATACTTTCTTCAACTGTAATCAGTGCTCTGTATAAACTTGTTTTTTGTATATGTAAAGGCGACTGCAAGGAACTTGAAACAGCGTAAATTAAAATTATCAGAGTTGTACTTAAGCCCATCACAATTCCCGGCAAGTCCATCACAAGTCTTCAAGCCTTAAGCCAAGTCATAAGCTATTCAGATGTCTTTGCCATTTTCATTGGATGAACTTGTGAGAGACTCATCTACAGCACTGCAAATTACACACCTGATCCATTTTCCTCTTTGCCCATTTCCCAAGGACCGGTGTAGACTGATCTTAGAAGATGCTATATTTTCATTATATTATTAACGGTTTATTTTAAAAGTCTCTCGCTGTATAACACAGATATAAACATTAGCATAAAACACATTGAAATATATTCAAAATTAAAAAGAAAAAAAACTAATAAACAATCTAAAGGATAGACAGGAGTTGCACTGGCTCATACAGGTTTTGCATGAACACTATTTATGTATATGTGTGTTTGAAACAATTGGTAAATCACAACACTCTATTGGTCAAATACATGTAGGTACCACTACAGTAATAGCTGTTAATTTGAGTTGCCTGATTAGCCTATATGGAATTCGGGAGGAATTGCCCTCCAAGATCAACTTTTGGTGTAGTTTTCACTTGTTTTATCGTAAATAACCAGCAGTGGTAAATGACATCCTTTTTTCACGTCCAAATTTTATCCTCCCATGCACACCCATGCCAACCTGCTGTTGAAAGCCACTTACAGTCCTTGCAAGGAGGGGGGGTTGGATTTTATCTGTCATTTGCAGTGGATGTCCATACATATTTGCGAGCAGCAGGATCCAGCCCTGATCCCGCTTGGCCACTGCCCATCTGCCGAGCTCTAATTGGCCTATTGCATAAGAAAAACCCAACATTTGTCCAGCACATGGAGCATGGCAGTGGCTCTTCCTGGCTAAGTATTACATGTACACACACTTGGGTATTGCAGTGTTAAAAGATAGCCAATTCATTGCCAAGCAGGCTAGATTTGTGTGGTTATGTAGGGCTGTCTACACATTGTATAGATTCCAAGCACAATAACACTCAAGAAAGGGTTGGGAAGCAAGTTGCCGTTGGTTGAAAGAAATGGATTATCTTGTGAAGGTTGAAGTAGGATAATAAATAGGCCTTGACTAGGCATCCCGCCTGACAGAACCAGTGCTAAACTTGGTAACATATAACATAAATCATGCCATTAAAGTCATCCGATATCATTCCCGGATAAGTTCTTATAGTATAATGTACAATTCCCTTTAAGCATTGAGCTTTTCTAAAGTATATTACATCTTCGGGATACGGAAATGATGCTGTGATGATGAAAGTTTTGAAAGATTCTTTGTTTTGATTTGATTTTTTTGTATTTCTTTATTCAAACCTGTTTTGTGTTCTGTTAATCACGGAAAGAAACAAGACTTTGCCGCCTCTTGAGATCCAGAACAGAAGGACCCCATACAAGAGCAATAAAAACACACGGATCCCTAAGAAAATTGCCTTGTGAAAAGTTTGACAACCGGACATAAACACATCATCTGCAGGTAGAGGCTGTTGGGGGAATAAATACTGGAGTTTCGGGCCTGGTCTTTTGATCTGGCGCTCAGGGGGAAACCCAATGACAATGCTGCCGCTATGCCAGCCCTGAAAAAAATCCCCTGGCTTGAAACAACATTTTTAGTCCTCAAGACCAAAAAGCACACACATGCTAAGATTTGTGCCCAACAGCTCCGAAGAACAACACCCGTGGTTAATCTTTCACCAGCGCCAGGGAAGAAATGGGGAGATGGAAAAGGGGGTGGGTAATGATCCAGGACGACGTAGAATGCTGGTCAGTCATCCTGGCTTCAGAGCTAACCAGGGGGATCCAGCCAGAGACCCTCAGGTTTGGAGAGCTTCAAACACAGTGAGTCACAAAATAAGAGCACCGGGCGGATCAGCTGAGCGGAAGCAGCAGTGTAATGCATCAGGCCGATGAAGAAAGCCGGCCGAGCGTTCATCTGTGGTTACCTTTGTAATGACTGGAGAGACGGATGGATTTCCGCAAAGCGTGCCTGTTTAATTTACACTCCAGTATTTGTGGCCTGGCCCCAGTGTGGCCAGTGCCGTGTTTTTCGCTCTCAGGACGGATGATGTTTACCAGTTAATTGAACAAATGAGCAATCTGACCTGATGTGTTTGGGACCAGCCACACAGAGATCGCTACCCATTCCCCCCTCCCCCAACCCTCACTGTCCCATACACACACAAACCAATTAGAATAAATGGGTTGGTCAATCACAGAGCTTTTTGCACCATGAAATGAAGACCTTTCTGTGTCACGCCTCGTTACTTACTCCATCTTTCAGAGATGGCCATTTTATGTGGAGTATTTCTCCTCACCAGTGCCCGCGTTAAGTGACCAGTTTTCCCCCTGTAGTGTACACATTTACTTGACGATAAATCAGATTGAATGAAAACATGCCTGCATTGAATGCATCATTGTAGGTAATGCTGGAAAGAGAACACGCCTCCTAACTTAGATTTCCCTTAGGATGCGCAGACAACATTCCGACACAAAAATCCCCTTTTCCCAGTGATGTGAAAATTGGAGAGGGGAAAGTAAATTGTTGTCAAAAATGTTAACTCTTGGGAAAAAATTGTCTCTTTTGTTCCAAACAATTCAACGTGGATGACAGATCTTGATGTCGTATTTCAGGAATTTTTTGAGCATTTCTTTTAAAGTTTAGTTTCTCTTTCGATCTTAACATTGCAGAAAGGTTCTTTCCCTCTCTTGCTTGAATACTTGAATACTACCCACTAGAGTCTTCATAATGGAATTTGCCCCCCTTTTTAGCGTAAATATTGATTTTCATCATACTCCAAATATAGTGTTTCAGCGTGCGTGGCAGACATCAGGACTCTATTCCTTGGCCAAACAAACGGATCACTTGTACACCACACCATCAAATGCACACAAGCCAGGCCTCACCAAAGGATGCCGCAACGTAGCAGTTGACAATACCGCTGTCGGGCAGGGAAAAAGAAAAAAGGAAAGACCGAACTGTGTGTGGCAACGATGAAGCACCGTATTTGGCCAGCAATTTGCAATTGATAGCCGTGTTTTTACGCCTGAGTCAACACAGTGGAGTGGGGTCCATTGTCAGTTGAGGAGGGAAAAAAAGATGCAGTGGAAGTTTGTGCAAACTTCAGAATATGGGAACCAGGGTGATGGGGGCCAGATGTGAACGACCTGCCAACAAATTGAAAGTGTTGCTCGATGCCGTTTTAATCTTCTTTGGTCTCTGATGCTTTCTAGGCCAGTGTCTTGAGTAGTTGGACTCTCGGGAATTCCTGACTCCAAAATGTGCCGAGAATTTTTCAGGAAAACTGTAACAAAATTTGTGCTGTTCCCTGCATCACATTTTACAAATGTCCTATAATGTGTGTAAGTGATATTGACACATTCAACCAAACCAAAACAGAAGCACATCACTATGACTTGTTCATTTTTATTTACACATAGAAGCTAAAGTCCAAATGGTCTTGCTCATGATCCACATCCACTTTTTGTTGAAAGTTTGAAAAATATAAGGAAAGCCCATTGTTGTCTCTTGTGTGAAATTAGGGTAAAAAATAATCGCCTCTGTTTCAGCTGTAGTCCAAAATGTGCATGTAGATAGACTGCCTTGCAAAACTAACAGTCACCCTGATTTTCAGTTTATTTCCAATTTGTGATTTTATTAGTACCCAAGTGTTGTTTGGATGTGAATACTTCCAGTTGAATACACAAATCCACTGTGTTGATGGGAAGTTAGTTTCTTTATCTATTGGGGTAATTCCTGACAGTCAAATGATAAAAGACTATTGTGTCAATCAGGAGGGCCTAATATGTACTATTGAGGGTCAGGCCCAGTGTTGGCATATCTCACTTGTCTTTGATTAGTCTCAGTTTTGGCTTAAATTTTCAATAATGGAAATTATTTCATTTCATGTTCTACATTTTTGTTTCTCTTTGTTGATACAGGACAGCAGACAACTCGATGACGATAGCAAAACAGACACAACGGGAACCACTGAGACGACTTCCCTGCATCACGAAAAAGACAGTGGGGTCGGCCGAGCTACAGATGAGAGTGTGCGCAACGACGAAAGCTCAGGCCAGGAAAACATGCCAGATGACTGCAGTAGCACGCACCGGAAGTATGCCCCGCAGCAGGCTAACAGGCTAGGCAACAGGGACCTGCGATACAGCAATGACAGCTTCATCTCCAACGGGGCCACGGAGGCAGATTTCCCCACCCATGAGATCTCACTGGAGGATTGCATGAAGTTCCAGGCAGCACTAGAGAGCAAGTGCGACAAGCACATGCGCAGCGACACGGACGAGAGCACAAGAGGGAAGGAGTCAAAGGTCATGCGGCTGGGATCAGACTCTATGGAGACCACCAGCCTGAGCGGCGACTCGCTCAGCCGCACCAGCCGTAATCGGTCGGGTGCCAGTGATCAGGACGAAGCCACACAGCACAGGGACGACAGTAAGAGCAGCATCTGGGTGGCCCAGCAGAACGGACAGAAAAACCTTGAACCCAACGGCCAGCCTCGGGTCAGTCCAGAGGAGCCAGAGGATCAAAGGTTTGAGCTAGAGTCCAGGAAATTAGAAATGATCGTTGAAAATGGCCAGGTGGGGAGTCCTACGCACAGACCCACGGAGCTTGTCCTCGATGGCTTAAGAAACTCGGACAATAGCCTCCATCGGATGAGCCCCAGTGAAAAGGAAACCAAGACCATGACTTCAAGCTCGTCAGGCTCCACAAGGCAGCATCGAGCTCCCAGAACAGTCCCTGGAAGTCCAGGTAGGAGTAAATCTTCTTCTGGCTCCAGGGACAGATCAAAGAGTTCCAGCTCCTCAGGATCAGGCAAAGAAAAATCAAGTCCAGTCAAGACGGCCACCGATAAAGACAGTGGTGCCGGTGCCCCACCATATCCCTCCAAGCCTTACCGCCGACGACCTGCAACCAATCCCCACCTGCGGGCGCAGCAGTTTGTCCAGCGCAATCCTTACTTCTTGCAGCAGGAGGAAGCAGCGGCACATCTCATCCGGCAAAATTGGAAGCTTCAGCAGCAGAATCGTCAGCTCAAGAAGAGCCTGGAGTCCCTGGGCCCAGCCCAGAAACTGCAGTCCTGCCCCTCTATCATGTCCATCCCCAGCCACGCCAAGCATTACCGCAGCTACCTGCATCTGGTCAACCAGAATGAGGAGAACACACTAGGTACCAGCCAGCCCAGCAAGAAGATCATCAACCACAATGAGTGGAAGGTGAAGATCCGAAGCGACGGCACACGGTACATAACCAAAAAGAACACCCGGGGGAAGATCCTGAAGGATCGGGCCAACAAGATCCAGGAGGAGCGTGGTGGGCTGACGACCGACGATGAGGCCATGAGCGAGATGAAGCTGGGTAGATACTGGAGCAAGGAGGACCGGAAACGGCACTTGGAGCGGGCCAGAGACCAGCGGCTTCGCCGTGAGTACATGGTGCAGTCTCGCATGGAATGCCTGCAGGAGCAGATGGAAGAAGAAGGCAGAAAAGAGCTTAACATTGTGGAACTGAGCCAGCGTAAGATGCTGAAGAAAAAGAGCGGGCGGAAAATGATGCTGGACGATTTCACCACCATCCAGGAAATGCTGGTCCATGGGACGAGAGTCAGTCCCGAAACAGCCAAAGCCTTCTACAACCCTCTGCTGAACGTCACAACAGTATGACGGCCCTAAAGACTCACTCGGTTGCGTGAAAAAGAAGAACACACACAAACAGCAACGTGTTGATGATTTAAATGATGAGCCAAATGTACAGATATTTATAACTGAAGTGCAAGAGATCCGCTCATGTGTTGATGTTTTTTTATAAGCTGGTGAAAGACATTTCAAGCAGCTAATACTCAGTGGAGAGTCATCTTGATACCGTGGTTGTAGATTAAGTATTATTTGTTGAGTGCATCCATATTCCCTTTATATTCTTGCCAGTTTGTCTGGGGAAAGACTTCAACAAATTCTGACTACACTCATGAGCCCTGAAAAATGTATTTCTTTTAAGCAACAAATTCCAAAACACCTAAATATCTACCCCACCCCCCAATCTCAGTTTCATGTCTCAGGTCGGTGGCATTTTCTTTACCCTTCAAAATGCCCTTTTCTGAAGCATTTTCCAAAGAGGACATTCTTATCCATCTCATCAAATTGATGACAGTAGACAACATCGATGGTTTGCCTTTGAGCTGTCTACTAGAACTCTTTCTATTAATTTTTTTTTCTTTTGCAATTGAAGTGACAACAAGAGCTTGTGCCTGGGAAACTTTTTGCTTTTGATTTTTTATTTTTTTTAAATTCTTTCTCAATATTACCATCCAGAGCCTGTCAGCATTTCAGGTTTAAATGGCGAAGGTTCAACGGAAATTGGCAAACTTGTTTTTCAGTGATCATGAACAAGAAAGATCCCGGCACAAGCCAATCAGTGTGCAGGCATTTATCAGCCAGGGCCTTAAGAGATGAATGAAAACACCAAATGAGGTTGAAAGGTGCCAGAAATGTTTTGAACGGAGTCAGGGCAAGTATGTCATCTACCTGTACAAAAGGAAAAGAAAAAAATAATCAGAGTGTGGTTATCGGGGATGATTCAGTAGAAATCTCCAGCAGGTTCTCTAGATATTGCTTTGATACACTCCTGAACTCTCTCCTATCCAAAGGAGAAGAGTTTAGATCTCGGGCTCTGGCCTCACAATCAGTCTCAGAGTTCCAACAGAGCAGGCCGACTGCCCCAATGTGTTTATTCGCCCCATTTTTGGGGGTCAGCCGTTGTTGTCTTTACATGGAGCTATTTGAGGAATCAGCACGACGATGAGCAGAGAAAGTGATCCATGCTGATGTGGCATGGATGGAAGAGGAAGGAATTGCATGGTTGAAGACATTCGTGGTTGCAATTTGTAAATTCTTTTAAAATCAAAATTTTTTCAGTGGTTCTGCTTGGCTGAAAAAAAGTAAAAAGTAATAGTTATTGACACTGTAATCGGCCCAAGGAATTGTTGAGTTCACCACTTCATCTTTCATAATCATTTCTTTAGAAAACATCGAATTTTCAAAAGTGAAGTTTAAGTATAGAGATTTGTTGCATTGGGCAAAATTCATAAAACTCAACAGATTTTTTAAACAAGAACTGTTGCAGGACAGTAAAGAAATTTTTTCAGATCCACTTTTTATAAACTCTTTAAATTCCTCTACAATTTACTGATCATTTTCTTGTTTTATCTAAAAGTTGTACTTGTATAAAACTAAGCTGCGCATTACATCAGCTGACTTGTTTGACTTGGATGAAATTTGTAATATTATTTTATGTTTCTCTGTTCACTGACTTTGATGCTAGCTTCTTTATAAGTGCAGCATTACATGTAAATTGTAAATTGTAAGTACACCACATCAGAAAATATATTATGAACTTTCTCTGTATTTAAGTGAGGTTTTATCCATAAACCTATCAATAAGTGGAGTTAATATTCTGTATTGGAATTACTTAATAGTATAGTGATGCAGCAGGCTTGTGTTTGACAATGCTGGTTTCTTTGGGGTGAAACTTTCAGATAAGTAACTGACGGCTGTTGTAAGGGATCATTTCTTTTGAGGGAAGGCTGTAAAAAGGGAAGCTTTCATTTGGTCTACATTGCTCCACATGTATGTGACTGGCTAAATTAGAATTTAGCAAATAACCGTTGTTGATGTCAGACTTTCATGCAGGATAATAATACAAAATACAAGGACTCGGCAGATAAGTTTGTCAAGGTCAGAAGAACAGTAAGATTTGGGAGTAGGTGGTGAAACCGTGATGGGAACCCCACCTTACATTTTGCCACGTGTCTCACGGTTTAAACAAGGGCCTAAGTTTTGTGGCAGTAAGTAAAAAGAGCGCCCTCTGTAGTTGCCTTTGCTTTTTTTCCCCTGTGTTTGCTGTTACCTGACCCCAGGTATCTGTGACTCCAGTGCTGCTTGAAGACAGGTTTTCTAGTTAATCATTGAAACAAGCTGCTATCAGTCTGAAGAATGCTCCATTTTAAGGGAAATGGTTTTTGTTTGATTTTCTTTACTCCACTTATGCCTAAGTTACTGTTGACTACATTTGGACACAAAAGACAGGTGGATTGTTTCATTTTAATTTGGTACCAAGTTTTGTCAAGGTCATGAAATGTTGCATGATATCCCTGGAACCTAGGTTTTTTTTTTTAATACCGAATTCTTCCCTCAACTTGTGTTTGTGTGAAACATCTTGTGTTAAAGTTTCATCTGTTTCATCCTAAATGTTGTGTAAGCCTCGCTGTTTGTGGTGGTCACCTTTGCCTATACAAACCTTCATTGTGCCTGTATGATTGCTTAGTGTAATTCTATAAACAAGGGGAAACGTTGATGCCTGCTAGTCCCTCTTCCCTTCCTATCGGCTCTGAGCAAGAACTCTAGATGGCGCTGCACTGGTGTACACAGACCTGTGCTTGTGTGAGCATTCCTGTGTTCTTTCATGTAAAACAAACATGGAGAAAAGTCATTTTCCTTGTGCTGTGAACTCTCTTCCTGGGGTTTTGACTGTGCTTTCCTTTAATGTTCCTCTTCATTTTGAAACTGTTTAAGAAGTTGGTTAATGTATGGATTGTACACGTCAAACTTTAATTGAACATACAGAAAGCTGCGCACAGGGAGAAAGTTTTGCACAAGTACTTCTGCTTTTTTTCTTAAAAGTGGGAATAAACGTGAGTGAAAGGTTTCCTGTGCACTGTGTTCATGAACATCAAGTATATTAGGCCATTCCAAGCTGGCTGTTTTGGTTGCCGGTCAAAGTTCACACAATGTTTATGGGGAGTTAACGAATTTCCCAATCCAAACTTTACTTCACCTCAGTAACACAGACCATTTGCCACAGTTTCGTGTGGTTCTTTCATTGGGCGCACCGGTTACAATGTCCATCATAATCAGAACTTTTATCCTTAGTGAAGTAACAACAGTTTATTTAAACTTATTTCACTTCATGTGTCTCAGTTTCCCTAGCATCTGAAACGGTCCTATAGACTGATTGCGCCGTCAAGTCACGTGACCTATAGTGGGTATCAAACATCAACAAACCCCAAGTGTTTTAGGTATTGTTTACCAAAAATGAAGCCAATTTTTTATTCTGTACCCAACACATCAGTAGGCTGTGTATGGTACTGACTGTTGGCTTTATTTTTGATGACTGACAGCTACGACACACTTTGCTTTGGGAGGACGCTATGTTTCTTGATGTTTGATACCATAGGTCACAAGACTTAGCGGGTGCCATCGGTCAAGTCACTCCCCTCCCTGACCAAACCCCGCCACGTAACAAAAGCACCTGTGAGGCGTAAGTGTGCATGTGTATAACGACATACAGAAAAGCGATATGGAAAGCTCTGTATAAAAACTGTGGTCTCCAGTGTAAACAGTACCAGTAACAATAGGCCTGTATGGTTTGTATTATATAAACTTCACGAAATAAACACTACGTATGAAAACAATTAAAAGATTGTTCTGTCCTTTCACCAGCTTCCTGATTTGAATGTTTTAAAGAATTTATTATTTTTCCTAAAATCAGCGGAAAATTATGTCTTTGTGTTTGTCAATGAGATGTGAAATCCACTGACTTTGTTCATCGTTGGAGGTAACCCACTACTAACCAACTACTTCAGTGCCAAATTTCAAAATACTGGAATCAAACTGAACAATACAAACATGCCAAGGTTGAAAACCAATAACAAATCCAACACATTTTTTCATTTTTCTCCATCTGGACATAAAATATATTTTTCCAACCACATTTCTTTATAATGGCCACGGGAAACCAAAAGTACTTGTATAAATACTGGAAATAATTCATTTGGAGTTTGCTTTATTCCTTGCAAAGAAACAAACAATGTGATGTCTTAAGTCACTAATCAGGAAACAATTCCTTACATCCTTTAAGTGCTGTGCTCTGAGAACTCTAAAATCCATCCATTCAATTTTTTTTTTTTTACAAAACTGACAGCCAATCTGAAATATCACACCATATCGTGAGTAATTGCATGAAGATGGTTTTTAAAAGCTTTTTTACCTCCCAGACACATGGAAATGGAGCTAGAATGACAAATTTATACAAATTTTGTGCAGCATGTGAAAGGAAAATGGAATTTGGCTGATTCTATGAAGCACTTTCCATAAATTTTATCAAAACTACACGAGCAGAACTTTGAGAAAGGGTTTTCAGTTTCATAATGGCTCGGTACTGAATCATGTCAAGTAATCCCGTAGCATTAAGGATGACAATTCTATTTATAAACAATAACCAAACATCAACAAAAACTGACAAATTACCACTTTTTCAATAAAAACCTTGCAAATATTTTACCAGAAATGCTCTTGACAGAAAAATTACACATAGTTTTGAAGTTTACCCTAAAGTCCAGAGTTTTCCGCTTTGCGGAGAATCTGCAAAAATCACGGATTTGGGGGTAAAAAGTGGAAAATGCAATTCTCGTTAACAAAAATAATAAATGAAACCAATATTTTTTATCATTTACGCACAATCAAATAAATAGAACCCAAATTAGGAATGACAACTCATTGTCACTGTTGAACTCACTTTGAAAGTAACATTTGGTAGCATTTCCCCTCCTGACAACTGATTTTCACTGTTGAACTCACTTTGAAAGTAACATTTGGTACCATTTCCCCTCCTGTTTTTCCTTTGCGATATCGCAGAATTTGGTATTGATTTCCTCTTTCTCCGCACTGCGGAGATCACGCAGGTCCCTGTTCCTACGTAGTGCCCAGACGTCTCACGGCTTATGAATAAATCAATAGGGATGGGGACCAGTCCAAGATCACAGTGGCATGGTGCATGTAGGCTCTACATGTATCATTATGCCAAAGCTACCTGTAGATGTACGGTAAATGTAGGCCTACAGTACACATGTACAGTCACATACAGTTTTTATACACAAAATGAAGAAAGCAGAAGAAAGCAGAATTTGACTTTCAGAAAGCAGAAAATTCTGGACTTTAGTTTACCCTTTCTGCACTCATTAACGAAAGAATACAAACTGACAGTTGCAAAAACAAATGGCAAAATTTTGGACAAGTCTGTGATAATTTTTCCACCAAGTGCAAGGAAATTGAGGTGACATGGACTTCTGAAGGAAAGAAGGTAAGATTCTTCCCTAAAGGTCCCTCAGAGCTCATCTTTTGAAGGCTCTTCATCCTGTGGAAAAAAAATAGTCAAGACATACGGTGTTATTACAATCAATTTCAAGA